GAAATCAGTTTCTGGATGGCATTGTCTGCAGCTGTGACCCCTTTAGCTCCTCCTCCTTCCCCTGATGCCCCTCCCCCAACATATAAAATGACACTTCCATAGGATCTAAAGGAGCTGGCCATCAGGACAAGGGTGGGTCATCTACTCCATGGGGTCAAGTCAGTGTGATTTCAGTAGACTAGAAAGGACAGTGATGGATAGCTCTTGGCAATTTTTTATTTTATGTGCTATTCAGCCTCCCTAACTTGCCATACTGACCGCTGATCTCTCACATCCCAAACTTCACGTTTTGTTTTGAAGCCTTGGCTCAGGTGGTAGACTGTGCCCTTGGACTATGTAATTAGCCGGAATGACATGGTATCGATAGTTGAGCAGCCATTTATGACACAAATGAATAACTGGATGACTGATATGCTTTTTGATGTGTATTTCCAAGCAATTTACTAGAGGGTATTTTCCTTTGTTATTATTTTTAAACCCTCTGATGTGACTTGCTGGGGCAAAGGTATTATTTTGGTTTCGAAATTGGAAGATATAATCAGAAAAGTTGCTGTGGCAGCAATAAGGAAGCCCAAGGCATGATTGGTGTAGATATTTAGATTCTGGCATTACTTCTGCTCTATAAATTCATCATTGGGTTGGACACTTGTGATGTACACTTATTCATTTGAAGTCATAACTAAATAATTACTTTACATAGTTAAAAGGTACAAGTATTGCTTTTGCGATGAATTCATTCTTTATTTAAAGATCAGTGGCTTTTGCAAGCATATTTCTAGGACTAAGCTTTTTAAAAGCAGTTCAAGTGAGCAAACAATGTGGGGGTTTTCTTCCCTGTTAAATGCAATGTGGGGAAATACAAACCACATTAGGATATTACACAATTAATGTTTGTTTATTGGATGAGCTGGGAGATGGATGCCAAGACCTGTTTTCTTTCCTTTTAAGGAGCTATGGTCAGTGAAAGCAAACAAGTACACCCGTAATTACAGTGAGACAAGTGTTAGTCTGTAGATAACATGGGATAGAGGTATTAACCAGCAGATAGTCATTACATTAACTACTTGGATCGGTCATTACCCTGTTCTTTCTCTATTTTGCTGTCACAGCCACCTCTTTGACTTGACTAAGCAATGTGAGATATTCTAAGTTCAATGGGCTATTATTTAGTTTTATGGACATAACACTGTTGAGAATATGGAATTCATGATTGAGAGCATGTCCTCAGAGTTTAGTTTTCATTCAATGTTTATAAAAACATAAATTTTTAATAATAGGAATTAAATATTTCTATCAAATTCTCATAGACCCCAATATCTAGAAGTTGAGTAGTTCAAGTGTGGTGAGTAATACACACTTTTAATTCGATCCATATCTTACAAAAAAATTCTCAGTAGGCAGTCTTGATGGTAATACAGCACAATTCTGTGTATCAAAGGAGCTGCTTGTGTTGCTGTGTAATTCCCCTGGAATTTTCAAAAGCTGGAATTTTTCTGTATATCTTGAAAGTTTGTTAGTGGAATCTTCCAGCCCAGGCTGTGGTAAACAACCAGGAATTCTTCATGGAGGTGTAAGGAAGACAGATGTCAGGCTGTCTGACAGGGACATCAAGAACCCTCCTCGAGCTCATCTGGACTGCTGTTGGCATGAGCACACAGACAAAACATCTGTTCTTAACACTAGTGACTTGTATGGTTTTTATTCTGAAGAAGGAAGACTGCCTCAACCTGTGGTTGGATGGACTTACAGGCATTCCAGGTGTTGAGCTCTGGAAGTGAGGGGTGTACATGAGGATCCTGTTCCCTGGACCTTACGTGTTCCCTGGTGTTGCTTTCTAAAGTCAGGCTACTTACTAGTATAGTGTCACCAAAGTAGTGCGGACTATGATGTGTCTGGGGGGCTTTTTAATTATGAAGGCGCTTATTTGGGGATTCTTGTCTTTAACTGTCACATTTTCCTTGGGGTGTTGACACTTCCACGGACACTTTCTTTGGTTTGGAACTTGAAATGTTTTTGTGAACTATACCTATCCTATTGCCCAGGTGCCTTTTTATTTCTTCTCCATTTAAATTGCCCTCTTTTTTCAGAACAGCACTGGGCTTTCTCCCTGCAGTCATTCCAGGCTCGTTCGGATCTCCCCAGCATCTCAGTCCCTTGTCCAGTAAAAGTGGTCACTATTTTCAACCCACTCACTTTCCATAGCTGGCTAGCTGAGTTTTTATTGAAACCAAAATAAAACTTCAAAGAAACCGAAGAAGCTGGAGCCTCCCTGCTCTCCCTTTCAACTCACACCTACCGATGTTTATCTTGGAACTAATTTGATGTTTATTTGATGAAACATGTAGTTAAGTGTTAATGGAGACTAATGTCAAGCCTTAGAACCGTGTGCAGAAACCTTTAATAGTCTGTGTTGAGCATTTGATACTCTAAGGTCAGGGTTTCTATAGAAACCGTGGAAGCCTGGAGTAAAAATGCTTGCCTGGCCCCCAGATAGTCTCACCTGAATGTACCAAAGTGTAGCCACCGCCATTGTAATGCCTGAACTTGACCCATCTTTTCTTCTTCATCTGCTGCCACCTGTTCTTCCTGCGTTACACCATCTTCAATTTGTCATCCTACTGCCCAGCACCATGAACTGTTCATAATTCCTGGTCAATGTCTGAAGTGTACAATGCTATGACTATTTAAATAGGACTCATTATGGATTGTATTTAAATATAGATATGACAATGACTTTTCAAAGAATATGTGTAAATTTCTTTTTGAGGGTAAGCTATTAATCTCCTGCTTTCTATTCAAATGTGATTATCTTTTGTAAGCTTTTAAGTATCTTTCCACTCAATTGAGGACTGCCCAGCTCCTGGTAAGTGCCTAGAAAATGAGTATTGATTTAATGTTTGCTCCTTTTAGCCCTCTAAGAAACCACTTTAGCTGGCTCATTCAATATAACACATAAATGAGTTGGGGAGTAAAGCTACACAAATCTTTATCCCTCCCTGAATAATCAATCAAACTTGATTAAATAGCACACACCGTATTTAGCTTTTTCTGAAAGAAGGCATGGTATTTATGAAAAGTCCCCTCATTCACTTTGTTTTTTCTTTGTCAGCTATTTTTTGAAGTCACCAACGTCAGGGTCCAAGTAAAATAGGTCAACGTTAGTGCAGTAGTCATCCCCACCTTCTTCCCCATTCTCAGGGGATATGTTCCAAGACCCCTAAAAGATGCCTGAAACTTCAGAGAGTACCTATACCTTTTCACATTAAGGAAGTACTTTATGACTTCTCTTTGGGAGATCCAAAGTGCCAGCCAGCATCACTACACTTTGCTTCGGGCTATTATTAAGTAAAGTAAAGGTTACTTGAATGCAAGCACTGCTATACTCAGATGGTTGACCTGATAACCTGAGGGCTACTGAGTGACTAATGGGTGGTGGAGATGCTGGTCAAAGGGATGATTCCCGTCTTGGGTAGGGCTGAGCTGAACAGTGAGATTTTATTATGCTACTTAGAATGGCGCACAATTTCTAACTTATGAATTGTTTATTTCTGAAGTTTTCCAGTTAATGCTTTCAGACCACTATTGACTGTGGGTAAGTGAAACCGTGGATAAGTGGGGACTACTGTACAGGTAACAGAAGGCTGTATATTTGATGATACCATTGACCCCAAACTCCCCCTGGGGTCTGGGCCTCAGTGTCCTTCTTGCAAGATGTGTTGAGACAGCCCAAGTTATTGATCTTAGTTACAGCTTCCATGGTCTTCCCAGGGCCTTGCAACAACAGGTTGATCCTAGTGGTACCCAGTTAGGAATTTACATGTGTGGCATATCTGCAGCTGATAATGTCCTCTGGTGGTTGAAAACACAAGGTTCAAATAGTGAAGCAAAACTCTTCTAGTCCGGATTTCTCCCAAATCTGTGAATTTGTTTTGTTTTTTTAAAAATATATTTTATTGATTTTTTACAGAGAGGAAGGGAGAGGGATAGAGAGTTAGAAACACCGATGAGAGAGAAACATCGATCAGCTGCCTCCTACACGATCCCTACTGGGGATGTGCCCGCAACCAAGGTACATGCCCTTGTCCGGAATCGAACCTGGGACCTTTCAGTCCACAGGCCGACGCTCTATCTACTGAGCCAAACCGATTCTGGCTGTGAATTTGTTCTTATTCAAAGTCCTCTTTATGGTAACCACCGCCAGTTGTCAGGTCTTTGGAAATTCCACCCCTGTAGGGTGGTGGTATTTGCCTTTTTCAATCTATAGTCCTGCAGTTGGAACTGTTAAGAGACACTTGTTTTCCATTCCAGTGCTACAGCAGCCTCACTGCCAGCACGCTGACAGCCTGATGGTGGCTCTCAGTGTCAGGTCTTGGAGTGGGGGTGGGGGTGAGGAGGTGGGGGGAAAGAGACATGTGTTTTCAAAGACTCTACTAAATAAAAAGCCTGGATGGTTGTTATTTTGAACTAAGTTGAAAACATAAAAACCATCATTACAGGGAAGTTGAAACTATGCAAAGATTTATTTTTAAAATGACATTTCACAGCATTTTGTAATCTCTTTTAATTATAAATCACAAAAACCCCACCATTTAGTTTACTGAACACAGGCTTACCCTGTACTAAGCAGGGTTCTTGAGCTTTACAAAGATTAACATTCTGAGATGCAGCAAGCTGATGCGGTAGGTACAGTTGTTACCCCATCGTGCAAATGAGGAAGCTTTGGCACAGAGAAATAAGTAACAGGTCACGTAACCAGTGTGACACAGCTCTTCTTGGTCCACAGTCCATGCTCTTAACTTGTTTGAATTGTTCCCAGTTAATAAAAAAGCTTACTTTATTGCTTCCAATTAGGGTAACTTTTCTTTGACTTTTTATAAATAAGTGCCATGCATTAGCTGCGTTTGTTGGAAATGAATGAGATTCTGAAGCTCTCATAGGATCAGTTCCCGAACTGGAGCAGAGCCAGCGTGCACAGCGATCGCTCTTCCTGTGAGCTCCCGAGGGCCACAGGCTCCCAGATGCCTTCTTCTCCTGTCCCTTGGACCGCCCTGGGTGGGTGTCAGGCTGTGGGTCATTCACCAAAACAAAACAAAGGCTCCTGACCCACGGACCCACCAGGAGCTGATGGATTTGGGGACAGGCAAGGCTGCAAAACTACTGCATGGAGACAGCATGCAAAGTTGGGGTTTTCTGAGATTCAAACTTAAGCTTTTTAAAAATATTAAATCAGGGGACTCTTGACAGAGATATTGAACCATACTGTGATTTCCTCACAAAATTTGAGGTGTGCTGCTTTTTAAGGCTGAGTGGTTGGTTACTTGGAAGAAAAGACCTTTTCGCTCACATTCTATGGTTTCTTGAGTGACAGAAAGGGCTGACATCGCAGTAAGGCGCTACCTCACTATGCTGCTCCCGAAGAGTAAGAAGGCACCCTTTGAGGCGCCATTCATAGTTTTAGTGATTACTACCAACCACAGTGTAATCATAGTTTCTTTTTTTTCTTTTAAATGTGATTGATTACTCAGCTAACAGAAAAGCAAGAGAGGAGAAACTTGAGTATACACCCATCTGCAATGTCTGGGGGTGAAAATGATTCTGTGGTGCTCTCTCTCTCTTTCTTTAATAGACTTTAAAAAGTAGTTTTGGGTGCACAGCAAAACTGACCAGAAGACAGCGATTTCCCATACACCCTCTGCCCCAAGGTGCACAGTTTCCCTGCCCCCTGCCCCCCCTCCCCCCCCCCAAACATCCCCCACCAGAGTGGGACATTGTTGCAATCCATGAACCCACATTTACACAGAATCGCCCCAAGTCCATAGTTTACATTGGGGCTCACTCTTGGTCTTGTACATTCTATGGCAGGGGTCCTCAAACTACGGCCTGCGGGCCACATGCGGCCCGCCGAAAACATTTATCGGCCCGCCTGGTGTTTTTGCTGTGTGGCTGCCTGTTGCTTAGCAGCCGACTAGTTTTTTTTTTTAAACTATAGTCCGGCCCTCCAACGGTCTGAGGGACAGTGAACTGGCCCCCTGTTTAAAAAGTTTGAGGACCCCTGTTCTATGGGTTTGGACAATTTTATGACACTGACAATTATAGTGCGATAACTTTGTCTCTTAATAGATGCTCAAGTCAGGACTTCTAATTTAATTTAAGGGCAATTAAGAGATTATAAGTATTTATTATGTGTCTCTGACTATCAATAAGATGTTTAAAAACCTATAAATCTATAAATAGCAAAAAATGACTAACATTATTTGTAATAGTACATATTTGCTCAGCTTATTAATATCCTGTGGACTGGAACTTTAGGAAAAACAACTTAGTTAAACGAAAGGCAAGCACCTTTTTCCTTCAAAAAAAAAAATATAATGGCAGGGGGGGAGGGGTGCGGCTGGGAGAAGAGGCTATATCGTTAAATAAGTGATGTTTTTATAAACCTTCCCATCCCCATAAATTTGCACCTTTTTTAATACGGAAGTATGAGAAAGTGGATCATGTGTGTAAAGGGAGAAAGAACATTCTGGAACACCTGTAGCATACTGCCTCCACCCTTCCATGAGATAGGTGGTAAAGGATGTAGCTCCTGACTTCACATATACAGCTATGCTATGTTACTGTGATGTTTTCATTTAGGTTAGGGGATAGGAAAGCATAAATGTTCCCATGTGTTCTTTCAACTACAGTAGAAATCAGTTGAATAGCAGACTGCCCAATGGATGTGTGTGCCATATACTGTCAGGCTTTTGAAATGGATCCGAAGCTGTAATTCCTAACACAAATGCTGTTTCAAACAGCACCAGTGGTTGGGAATCTACTTTGATGTGGCCCATATAAAGTTCCTGGGCCAGCACGAAGACTGCCTTTGATGGACCAACCCCCAAACTTAAGAAATTGGATCCCTTTTAGTATAAAACAGTGGCAGGAGTGAAGTAGATGAATTTGGTAATTCAGATGTTTCAGATTTAACTCAAAAGACTTGGTGGGCTTTGTACTATGGGAACTGGGGGATAAATATATTGCAGAGGATTTGGAAAATATCGAGCATAGTCTTTTAGGGCCACCCCACTGTTTCCTGGAAAAGGGGAACCAGTGAGCAGAGAAATCTCCGCATCTGGGCCACCATGAGCTCTTAGGCATTTACTGGTCAGCTGCCCCAGGGTCATGAGGCTTCCTCTGTCTTTGTTGCTTATGATGATTTCAGTCCAAACACTCAAATACTCCAGCTGTGGGATCATGAACAGATGGTTTCATGTTATTCTAGTAAATATAGTTTATATGGTTGCTTGTAGTCATATTCTCTGAATTCTCGCCTCAGCTCTAACTGCAGCCATCTCTCTTGGCACACACTTACATTGAGCTGCTATTTGTTAACTGTTGCAATGAAAGGACCAAGTTCACGTCCGGTGTCTGTTACCTGGAGAAAGTGACCAATAAGTGTACATGTTAGGGCAGCCTCCATTGTGAACTGAATATGCTGATTTGGTGTGAAAACAATTGTGTCATACTTTAAAATAAAAGATTGTGGGTTTTTTTTCATCATAAACTGTTGCTGTGTGTGCTGGTTGAGGATTTTGCAACGAAAAATTATTTCTGAATGTTGGTGCATATGTGGCATTAATTCTGTGATTGACTCTGATGTGTGAATTTAAATGGGAGGACACTTCAGCAAAACGAATAAAAAAGATCTGCTTCAGCTCGAGTTGGCATGACTCTGGGGGTATGGTGGTGTTTGGTAATCATCACCATAAGGGAAGTTCGATGTTTATTCTACAACCGAACATTCTCATTGCATAAACGTGAGGACTAATACAACCAAGTTCAGCTGCTGACCAAGGTCAGACACAGCAGTGTTCTTTCAAACTGCGAAGAAGGAGGCAACGTGTCCACTGTAGGGTGTGACTAGTTTCAGTCCGTAGGATAGCACGGCATCCTAAACCAAGCATGTCTGTGGGGGCTGGATAGCTCTTAACACCAGGATGTTGATAAAAATCATTAATAAAAATACATGTCACATTGCAATTGCGCTTTGTTATAGGTTTTAAAGCACTTTTATATGTTGTTGCTCTTGTTCTACCTCCTCGGTTACTTTTTCCTATTCACGTACCACCATTCCATGACTCTGGCGTCTCTTAATTATGGAGGCCTGACTCGTCATCATGTTAAACATTAAAACACTGAAATCACAAGTTAACGATAAGTTGCATAGCTACAAATCTGTAGGTGTTGGGCTATAGAAGCTCAGTGGCATAACTACTACTATAGGTACATACCTTAGTCCGTTCATGCTGTTTTAACAAAATACCACACAGTGGGTGGCTTACACAATAAATATTAATGTTACTGAGAAGTCCAGGATCAAGACATCAGCAGCTCGGGTGTCTGGTGAGGCCTCTCTGGTTCCTGGAGGCCTGAGTATTGCTGTAATGTCAGTGGTGGTGAAAAGGGCAGGGAGCTCTCTGGGGCCAGTTTTATTTTATTTGAGCACTAATCCCATTCATCAAGGCTCTGCCCTCATGACCTAACACCTTGCAAAGGCCCTGTCTCCAAATTCCATCACATTTGGGATTAGGTTTCAACATATAAATTGGGAAGGGGGTGGTTTGCAAACATGCAGTCTATTGCAATACTGCTAATTAAAATCTGGAGGTTTTCTTTTTGTATTTTGGAAGCACTATTTTATTTAGAAGATCCCAAACTTTTAGACTTTCCAAGGTTCTTGTGAGTGCAGAGACCATTGCCCAGGCCTGTTGGGCCTGTGCGAGGAACCATTCCTGTTGCCGGCCTTGCAGTCCTTCACCTCTGAAGGGGCAGGGCAGGCCTGGATGGGGCGCAGTGCATGTCAGCCTTCCCCAAGCCTCGTTCTTAACTCAGAAAAAAATTTGGTCCAAGGTGAGAAGCCACGTGCTCCTCTTGTGCATCCCTGCAGCAGCCAGCCCTAGGCAAGCATTTGTTCAGGACTTCCGCTGGGACTTCCGCTGGGACTGCCCTCCTGAGCTGTGCTGCTAGCAACAGTCTGGAGGGTGTGATTATCTGACTCAGAACTTGAATAGCCAGATTCAGTTACTACTGCCACAAACCTTTCGTCTCATTCTATCAGTGTGGAAGCACTTTCGCATCAGACATTTTTCTAACCCGACATAAAATCACTTGTTACACACAGCCTCCCTCCCTCTTTAAACTACAGTTTAGACCTGGGGTGGGGAACCATTTTTCTGCCAAGGGCCATTTGGAGCATCATTCACGGGCCATACAAAATTATCAACTTAAAAATTAGCCTGCTATATTTGGTCAAATAGGCAATTAACTCACCCATAATCCTTGGCAGGGCCAGGCCAAATGATATTGAGGGCCTTGTAGGGCCCGGGGGCCAGATGTTCCCCACCCCAGATTTAGACTCTATCGTGTTCTCTATGAATGGCTCCTTTTCATATAATAACATTTCTATATCTTTGCTTGCTTTGTGCTTCCTACCTCATTCATTCTTCTTCAGCCCACAGCTTAATCCAAGTCTTTTTTCTTGGCCATCCTAAGGCTTCTCATTCAAACGTGTTTTTAGGGTCTGTTTTGTTTTTAATTGCTACGGCTCTTGCTAGAACTGTTTTTGCCCACCTATACTAAAATATACCTATTTTAATTTGACTGCGTTCTCCTTGACTATAAAAAGTCACTTTGTTCTTTATAAAACTGTTGGGCTTTATAGAAAGTGTGTTCTTTGATTAACTTGTCTATTCTTTTGTGAGATTAGCTGCATTGACTTTACAGTCAATACTAAAAATCAACTTAAATCTTTGTTACTATTTATTTTTTACAGCATCAATAATATCTTTTGTGGAAAAATCCACTGAGAAGACTTGGTATTTTTAAGTACTCTTATAGTCTTAACACTAATAATTGAGAAATGTATGTGTTTGAGAGATGGTCATGGAGATGGGGGAATTCATAAGAATGGCTTATTGACAGATGCGTTGAGACATTTGAAATTTTTGGTGCTTGAGGAATGGTTTTGAGAAATTTACTCTCTGA